AGCAAACCAGCGAACCAATTAAAAGGAAAAGTGGAAGGCCGAGAAAAACATTACGCCGAGAAATATAGAAAGATTAGAACGAACAAAAATTGAGGAGAGCTGAAAAGGGAAGCCCAGGACAGAGTGGCTTGGAGAATTCTGGTCTGTAGCCTGTGCTTCATTAGAGGCAACAGGTATAAGTAAGTAACTTCTGGCTATCTAGAAGAATAATCTGCAATAGCTAAGGCATAATATGAGTTCGAAAGTAGACCACAGTAATCAGCATGAACACATTGCCATTATTTATAAGATCCAGGTCAAGTTTGAAAAGTGGGTTTGTGGTGTGAGAGTTTGATGAGTCTAATTCATGTAAACGTCAATGTCGTGCCACGGACAAATGTGTTGAGTGTATAATTTCACTTTCTCTGCACCTAGATTGGTGGGGTTTAGATCATACAATACTGAAGATCTGTGCTTACATTCAACATTCCTACATCATTTTACTGTACATATGATAGTCCGAAAGTACTCGCGAGCATCTTTTACAGGTCCTACTATATCAGCATACAGTGGTTGAACCAACATAAAATCACTATCTGTAGGTGGCCTTCTGAAATATTAATACGGTGTTAGGAAGTGTGAATGTGATATGCTCTGAGCCAAATATGTGCCCGATGGTAAAATCATAGGCAACCGGCTCTAAATCCTTCTTCTGGACAATGGTAGATGATCAGTGAAATGACTTAGCTTGTTGTGAGTAAATAAATATGGAATTATACATGAAACAAGTATTTTTACACTGCCACAGATAAACCTCATTTTCGATCCGAGAATACCTTTGTTTACACTTGCTTAATCGTCTGGAAAAGAAAATATTAGGTTTCCTAATGTGCTCTAAAACAGCACCTAAGCTCTATGGAGCTGCATCAGTAGTGAGGATGGATCTGTGAATGGGTCAAAATGGTCTGAGAAAGGCCTTATTATTTGAGAACTGTAAGCTGATTCTCATTATGTCCTTGTTTAGCTACGATTTCCCCACTAGAGGCCAAATAAATCCCGGATTAAGACTGATGGGCAATAAACTATGAACTGAGATACTCGTAGGCGATGGTACTTGAATTGGTGAAGCTAGGCTACTAATATCGGGTTTAAAACCTTGAGCAACCACAGTATAGCATGGATAATTGGTAGAACTCATTTGGAAATGATCTTTGTATTGTATGTGAAGTTCCGTTGGTAGTAGACAACGATAATGATTCCATCATTTTGTCCAAATCATCTAGTTCTGACCCATGACCATTAGATGTTTTTTAGCAAGTAACATGGAACTTTTACAAATATTCTGTAAATGCTTGGCCCTTCCGCATTTACGAAAACGAGCATAACGAAACTGACATGAACTACAAAGATGCAGTATACTACTATTCAAGCTGTTCACTTGCCTGGATGAAATGGAACTGTTTTTGTCAGAAGAAATCTGTAGTTTCGGTGACCTAGTAGATTTATTTAAGTTTTATAATAGTAGATCATGTTGCCTCGTACTGACACGTGAATCATTAACATCTTCCTAAGTAAAACGGAAGTAATTAGCCTTCTGGAAGAATCAAGCAAGAATATCTGTGTCTGTATATTAGGATAATCTATTCCATCAGTCAGGACCTCACGTAGTTAGATCTACAGCTGTTCGACATATGTAGGCTTGTCTCCAAAGTTAAAGTATGAAAACTCTGATTGTTTGGAACAGGGTACAAAATAAATCGTTGAATTGTGGCCCTTTCGCGTGTTTCGAAAGTGAATAAACAACACCAAACTCCTAGGTACGTTGAACAGAAGTAGCATAGGTTTTTTGAAGTATGCTAGGCCTTTTAACAAACTGTAAGACTCTATATCAATTGCGGATATGGAATGCGCTGAAATTCAGTCGTTCTTGACTTCATGTAACAAACATCAAACACCAAAACAATATAAATAACCTGCTTCCGATGGTGACGCATTGAAAGGTAGTTCTCTAAGGTTATTTGAATTGATTTGCGCAGCGACACCAGGTGTAAATCTGAAATTTATTTTATGCACATGGAACAATCTCAATTCAAATTAAACTTCGACAAGGTGCAAGTAAAACTCGAATTCGAACGCTTTGTATGAATTTTTGTATTGTACTCTTACATCCATTTTAAACTCAAAATATGTGGTACATTTTATTGTAGAAACTGTATTTACTAGTTATCAAAACTAGCTTGATGAGATAATAACACTTTATCTTACTCTTGAATACATATTTGATAGTTCCAATACTTCCATTTTCACATCTTATTTGCGTCCTGAGTCTAAACTTTATTGTTGTTAGTTTTTACACTTACTATCCTGTTAATCTATGTAAGATCCATTTTCGAAGGCTTTGTTAATGAAAATCCCTCCATGTAAACATTTGTAATATTTCCTTACTGATTCCTTCAGTTCTACATTTTGTTAGTCTGTTCAATTCCATTTTCAGATGAGAATATTTGTATTTTATATTAGTTTCTATTTCTTCTGCCTTTACTGAGTTTCTAAGTTTCTTTCTGAACTGCATTATGTTGTTTAAGCTGATACCGAGTTATGGAGACAGCCAAACTGATTTTGTTCCTCTGTTGACTGAAGCGCTTACATTGACTGGAAGTGTGCAATTGGATTAGAAATTGGAGCACCCTTCCAAAACTGGAAAGAATCTTTTTTATAAGAGGTGTAGAATACCCTTTATTTGGATAACTGAAGGAACGACTTAGTAATATTGTTTAGGTGACGATTTATGTTTATATTTATGAATAATAATAGAACCGTTACTTACTCAGATCACTTGTTTTGTATTTAAACTGGGCAAGGCGAGTATCTAAATTACCTGGAAAGTTATTCCTAAATCCAAACCTTACTTTGGATCTTATACTCCGAGTGTATCATTTTAAATGTAGATTCCTACAAATCACGTTAATGTTGCTTGAAATTTCTTCTACACTTTGAAGCTGTCATTTTTCTTCTTTGAACTCGGATAGTCGTCGTTTAAATAGAGAAACGCCTCTAGACTGGATGAAGTGTTTTTATCTGTTGAAAAATTGGTAGTTTTTATGTTTGAACGATGTATATTCTGGATTGTTTTTGGTTTGATTTTCAGAAGTTTGTTTAGTTCATTTGTGTCTAGCGACATTTGTCACTGAAGTATTTTGTATTATCCAGAGATACAATTACCTAAAATGATACCAGTTTTTACCCTGTTTTGGTTTAGGTATGGGGAGAAAATCGTCTCTATCAACAGAGTCTTGTGAACCACAGAAAATATCAAATTTTTGAGAACTATTGGGCTACTACGTCAAGAATTAAGCTATCCAGAAATTAGGATATTCATGAAGTAGCGAATTGTGTTCCATCGGTCAAAATTTGCGTACAAAACAAACAAGGCTACTTCATGTCCTTAGAAAACAGTAAATTGTTGGAAGAGGTTTAGGTGCTCACGATGAAGTCCACTGCTGGAATTTCAAACCTGTAGCTTGTACAAAAAGTGTCCTTAACGTGCAGATTGATCAGAAGTCATCCGAACGAAATCAAGTTACCTTAAGCTAGAATCAGGAACTAATGAATGGTATGATCCGCTCATTAGAAAACGAAAGTTGAGCAACGGCACAATCACGGCTGAACGCCCAATCAATTATACCTATTAGTTTATCAATATTAATACACACAATCTATTGACTGGAAACAATTCAGCGACTCCGCTCGAATCACCCACTTATATGCCCGGTTGTTGACTCAAACTACCTTATTAAAACACGTTCTTCACCATACCTTAGTCATCAGTAAAAGGCAGTTATGGACCACAGGAAATGTAGTTTGAAATACTTAGATAATTACACTGTATGATTAAAACCCTATCACTTGAGAAACAAAGAATATCCAGGAGGAATCTTTCTTGTAACTAGAAAAAGTCTACTACAGTATAGATTTTTAAACACACGGCAACCTGTAGAATTTTAAAGGAAACTGTATATACGGAAAAACGTGTACTGCTGAAGACATGCCGTTCGTGAAGGATATCCTAAACAGGATAACCTGTACAGAATATATACTTTTGCTAAGGAGATCGCTGTTAACCTATTTGTCTTGATTTGGATCAGGCTAAACAGATCATGGTCCAATCGAGAGACAGTTAAAAAAAAGGAAACAGAGAAATACTTGCCGTGAATCGTCCAAACATCTTGACAAGTGGATGCGACAAGCTAGTTGAGGGATTATTGTGACCAATGGTCAGGAACTTCAAACGGCATTGCTCCAATTCATTTGGAACGGAACAGGTACATCCTTTCTCCGTCTAAATTCAAGTCGTTTATTTCCTGATTCCTCATAACACCTTCATCTCATTAATTTATATTCTGTTGGATCGCATCATCTTGGCTGAATCTTTTCTATTTGTCATAATAATTTAAAGATGTTCTATTGGTTGCTCATGACTACTCAAAAGGATATACGCAGGTACTAGGCACTTAGTTTTGACTAACTGATTTACTGATTAGAGTAAGACAGAAGGTTTGGCCGAAGATAATATCTAGGAAACGCGAGTTCTTACAAAAGAAGTAACCAGATGTTGTTGACTACGTGCACTAAATGGTACATGTCGTGAGACAAGTCACACAGTGTTCGTGTGTAGTAGTTAGTAGTTGCCAAAAAGCCAGACTGTCTGATTTTTTAGCTTGTGCCAGTTTAGGCCTCTGGCATGGTGTGCAAGTTAAACCTGGACTATCGTTTACTTATCACGACCCTCTCAGCCCCTGTAATGACATTCCAACAATTCGGGTGTCTTGTTTCTTCTCCTGATCGTTATTACAAAACAATTTACGGATTCGGAACAAAAGAGATAAATGACCAACAGACAAATTTTAGCAAGAAATTGAAAACCTAATGGTCAAGGAGCAAATGAGCAATGATCACTAAAACTTTGAAGAAAATGATAACAAAACTACTTTTCTTTGCTTTTTCTGAACCAATTAAATACATTTTTGTTTGGCACATATTTAAGCTGACGACAATCAGTATTCGTTCATTCTTTTCGCATCAAGTGAGTTCCCATTGAATATCAGTTTTATTACTATGCTAAACTCCAGTTTCTAATAAATACTTGTAATTTTCTGCTTTTTTCGCCAATCCTGACCTGATAAGTGACTCTAAACTCTCGATCGTTATATGTAATACTACTGAAGCTTAGCCTAAATTTCATTTAGTCTAGTTCGTAAATGAGAATAGTTTCTTACTTTGGACGTAAAATCTATGTTCCGACTGTATGTTTAATGTAACTTGGTCACAAATACTTACTTAATCGTTTTCGACAGATTGATGAATTTCCATAATAAACTTAGTGATCTCAACCTCTTTCTCTGGTTGTGGAAAGTTAGTTTATGCATTTTTATGAAATTTCACCAAAAGTCACTCTTCGTGTATTTTACATCACTTTAGGTAACCTTTGACTGTAATGCGCTATCAGTAAACTATGACATGAAATGACTTCAAATCTATTGAATTCAGTCAATTGTTTTGATTTCTGCATCAATTTGATTTCATCACAACCTGTTATGGTCTGCAGTTATAGCACATCAACTTTCAGCTTCCTGTTTCTACAAAACTATTATTTTGTGTTCAGTGTACTTACTTGACCTTTTTGTTTCGTAAATGTATCACTGTTAACAGTTAGACAGGAAATTTTTCACTCTTTGAAAAATACGCCAGAAAAAGTAAAAGGGATTTCGGATTTTACATTCTAATTAGGAATTATGGAAAGAATTGCCACTAAAATGTTTATCTTTGTCTCCTAGACTCTGAACACATCATAACAGACCGTCATTGATCAATATAGTTTTATTATAAATTGTTAGCAGCTCAGCAGATCCAAAAGCTTATGGCCAACGTTATTATATCGAGTGTATACACCGATTTTCCTTCCTGTCTTTTTTTTCGGTAACACACAGTTCCCCATTTTGAAAGTATTGCATTAAAAGTTCTAGCCCATGGATTTTATTCATTAGCTATCTAAGTTAATAATGAAGAAATAATAGTGCTCTAAAGTAAATAGACTCAACTTGGATTCCTTTGCAATAACTGATGTCGATGGTAATGTTGCAATCAGGTGAACTCTTTCTATAACCTAAAAGAAGCCCAGAATTATTGTAACATTTTAAGTAACGCAGACTTAGTTTTAAAAGAATGTCATGATATATAATTTTATCAGATTGTCTCATTAAATAACAATTGACTTTTTAAAACGTTAAATTTGTCCAGGAATTTATGTCTGAAATAAGTATGTATTTGAAGTTATACGCTCATATTAATGATAAGACAATGAACGCAGTTTTTTTGTTTTGAACGAAGGTCTTTACTGTAATTATGTATTCATATTCACCGAGCCTATTCAACAAAAAGTATAGCGAAACATATATATACTTAGCATCAGGATGCACATGCTTATATCCACAAAAAATGGCTCAAAATACCATAAACCGATTGAAATCCATTATTTTGTCAGCGTTCTATTCTTTTAACTGATCGCGTTTATGTTGGAGCATAGGTTATGATCATTTTATTTTGTAAAAATACAAACAAAAAAGAACGTTTATTTTCTCATGGCGAATGATAAATTGTTATTTATCTTTCAGAATGTGGACTGAAAGTAATGAAACGCCAAGTTTGGGCTCAGTACCAGTTGTTAAGGGGAAGTTTGAGGCTATGCCTAAATCTGCTCAACGTTTTGTTGCTAAATGGGTAGGCAGCGTTTAGAAAAATACTGTTTTATCATTCTGAACTATTTTTAAATATTATTATCCAAGATTTGTTCATAGAAGTATCCTTAAAAAAGAAGCGTTATCAAGCAGATCCACCAGTACAGAAAGAAACTGTGCTGTACACTACGAATCCCTAATACAAAGCTGCTAGTATGTGTCTCTACTACACTGGTTCTTGGTTTGGCATTTTTGAAGGGCGCCAGAGTTTTCGTTATTAATTTAATTAGAAATCTATCTTGAAACCTTTTAAAAGTTGTATAAAGTCTTATTAGGTAAGCAGTCGTGCTGAGTGGATTTAGTGTATTTATCTACGCTGATAGAAAAATAAACCTATTTCATGATTATAGACTTACTATGATGTCACAATCAAATCTGTCGTGTCTAATATACAAGTCACACATTTTTCTATAGTAAATTATCCTATCGTGACAGTCAGAAGCATGCTTTTGAGTACTTATGAAGCACACATTTAGGCTGGGTACAGAATAATATATTTATCATAAGAAGTAAAATGGTATATAGAGTGACCACGCCTCTGTGATCGAGCCTTGCCGTATCGATTAATTGTTCCTGCATTCATCATTCCTGATCTTCTCCAAGTGTTAAATGTTGAAAGCAAATCTTTTCGGTTGCTTTATGTCCAATTTCAACCATAGTACAACTGGGAATCAGTACCACGACATACTTTAAGATTGGATAGTGACATAACTTCCCTCTACAAACCGGTTAACGCATTATCAATACCAGTGAAGACTGAAATGCAGTAGAGATCGTTACGGTAATACAATGTTAAAAAATCATAAGCAAACGTATATCGTTTCCTTCATTATTTATCGTAGTGTAAAGCTTGACAAAAATTCTTTTAGATAGTAAAGCAGTATATTAGGTTTTGAACAAAACACATTTTTAGATTTTTTGAATTACCAGAAATACACAGTTGGTTTAGATTGAGAAATAGCTATCATTGATGAAAAAAATGGCCAAGTTCCTGTGTATCTTAACTTGTCAAAGTGTAACACTATCATCATCTCTACTGTTAAAACAATAACGAACAATAGGATCAAACTGTTTGTACATTTATAACTGTGAAATAGTTTTAATAATGCCTAATCTATTCATTTAGTATTCAAATAAGATTGATAAGAGAGACAAGTATCCGGTGGAATGATTGATTTCATCAATAAATTGTTTTTCATCATCAAAATCAGTGAAATGAATAAACATCTAATTTGAATTCATCATATGTACGTGAAAGTTGTTACCAATCAATACATTATAATAGGGAAACACGCAAGTGTGTCTAGTTGTTTCAATGTCCTTGACAAATTAGAGATTGATAATAATTATATATGTATATAATTAGATTATCAGTAGTATACTATCAAATGTTTTCATAAAATTATTATTAATGAAGAAGGTTTTTTCTTATTTTTAAATAAAAAGTTTAAAGGTATCAGCTAGAAAATCTCAGTTTATTATCAACTAGTTTGAAAAATTCCATCGAACACATCACAATAAAATTAACTGAGATAACTGACTGTCTGGACGATGTGTAATGAAAACAAACATTTACGTTGTCTAACTGAATCACATTTAAATAACTGATATATAACGGACAAAAGTTTTAGAACAACATGAATTTTTAAAGTGAATTTTTTAAAGTGATCTCTTCGAATCTTCATTTACACCATAAGAATAAAAACTTTGAAGTTGATTAGCTCGTTTTAAATAAAGCTTTCAAAAAAGTATTGTGTTGAATTTTTTAAAGCGGAAATTTTAAATGTCTGTATGATTATTTTATATAATTGTTTGTAATATAAAAACTCATACAACGTTTTTTTAATTAGAGTTACGGAGATCAGTGTTTTTGCGCATTGAAATCATCAATCAATCATTGTTAGACCATCATTAGAAACCTAGAAGCAATGGATGGCCATTTCTTCCTGGTATGTGGAACTTATCAGCAGTTCACATCCACGACTCCTTTTATTCACAAGATTCAAGGCCAGGACCTTCGATTAGTCTATATACCACTGAGCCGGCATCTAATGGTGTTAATATCTAGCTCATACTGTTGTCGTCCAGTACTATCGATTACTTTCTTCGTAGTTCCAATGAGTAACGAAAGCAAATAAAACATATTATAGCCGAGTCAACGTGATCAACTTAATTAATAAGATCGTAGCTTCAATAATTCTCTAGTGTTTAACTAAGACTAGAGAAACAAGCAAGTCAATGAATATCTGACATGTTCCTGATATTATTATCAATGTGTCAACTAAGTATTCACAACTTATCAGTTTACTGAACGCATACACAATTGACAGTATTCCTACAAGTTATCTGTCATCACAGAAGTAAGAACTGTTTAAGAACTACTCGACAGTGAAGAAAATTAGACAAATCATGAAATTTTTCTTTACAATATTTTAGTTACTCACTTACTTACTTATGCCTCTTACCCCTGATGGAGAGAGCATAGGCTGCCGACAAGTACTCTGCAACCTACTCTATCCTGGGTCTCTCTTTCCAGTCCTGTCCAATTTTCACTCTTACCAACGCTCGTATGCCCAAAGAATTTATAGTATCCCAAACTTAATTTTTTTGAGTACCTATGTGATAATCCTTGTCTTAAATGATCAATGAAATGGTCTCTCAATAGCTATATCTCCTCTTTGATTTCACTAAGTAGTATATATACGATATGGTACTTGAATATATTGTCTAGACTTGAAGAAACATTGTTACATAATTTCTTAAAGTGTTCTAAACTAATGTTATTCTTTTAATCTTCTTTAAATTGAAAATAAAAATAAAATTTCAGGTAGAAATATGTAAACCAACTGGAGTGTATATATGTGATGGTAGTAAAGAAGAACGTCATGAGCTTACACAAAAATTAGTTGAATTGGGTTCTTTGCATAAATTACCACCATATGAAAATAATTATATTACATGTACTGATCCAAGAGATGTTGCACGTGTTGAATCAAAAACATGGATTTGTTCTGAGCATAAACACGATACAGTGCCAGATTTAGCACCAGGTGTAAAAGGTGTTCTTGGTCAATGGATATCACCGAATGATTTAAATGTCGAAATTAAAGAACGTTATCCTGGTTGTATGGAAGGTCGTCTACTTTATGTTATTCCATTTAGTATGGGTCCTATTGGATCACCATTGAGTAAAGTTGGAATTGAATTAACTGATAGTATATACGTTGTATTATGTATGACAATTATGACACGTATGCATCCTGATGTATGGAAAGTGATTGAATCAAGTAAAGAATTTGTTAGATGTGTACATAGTGTTGGATGCCCTACTTCATCAAATCGTAAGTGTACAATGATTATTATTATTATTACTATTATTAGTGAAAAGCTTTAGGTTACGAGTTTGTGTAGGTAGTTAATGAATCATTCTATGTATGTATTTGTGAATTTAGCCTGAAACTATTGAAAATTTTAGAACTAGTGAACTTTTCTATTATCTTAGTTTGTATAAATGTACAGTGTTGTGTTGTATTACCCTACTCTGCTACAAACTCAAACAGTTCAACTGTTTCAGAAAGATGAATAATCGATCTAAGTCAGGTAGACACTGAGAACACTAAAATAGTCGATGGAATTTCCTGAGTTTAATCCCCAATAAGTAGATCATAAATGAGTAATCTTGAAGAATCATATATTGTGATAGGCTACTTATCTAGTTAGTGTACATCAAGGTTTCTAATGATTATCTAATTTAGATCGGTTTATAATTTTAATGAAATTTAATTGTCATCACTTCCTCGCTAGTTGTTTCCCTACAACTTACAGCGCTTAAAGTTGAACAGTTGGTGAAAGTTTAATAAAAAGAATTTCACAAATATAAACACAGTATACTTGGTTATTTTCAAATTGATAAACTAATACTTACTGCCTTACTTATTTACTTATGCCTGTTACCTTCAACAGAAGCATAGTCCACCGATCAGATAAAACTATAAAAGTAGTTTGTATTTTTTAGCTTCCTCAGTATTTCATCATTCACTTTCACATAATAATCAAATAATGTTTGTAAATTTACGACTAAATTTACTCCTTCGAGGTGCAGGATTCGTGGATGTGCACTGCCACTGATGAGTCGCATACTAGGACGAAACGACCGTCTTTCAGTGCTTCCAGATTTCTAATGATGGCTCAACATTGATCGATTCATTATTTCATTGAATAACTTAACAATCTCCACAACAACCGATAATCAAAAGATCCACCAATGAACACCAGAAAAGTTCTCTGTTATGAACAGATATTATTTATGATAGAGTATTATTAATAGTTGAGTTATAGTTGTCTTGCACTATATTGAGATGAAATTATTGTTAGATTAAAAATGTTATGATTCAAATAAAACTTTCAAAAATTTATGTATGATATGTTATTAGGATCCAATAAAGTGTTGATATAATGAAATCGTCATAAGAGAACTTTATTTTGACATAAATTCAAACCATTCGTTGGTTAATTCAAACAAATATGTGTTTGAAAGAAGAACAAAGGTATTCCTTAAATGTTCAATATGATTTAGGACAATATTTTGTATTTGATTCTGGCTCTGAATCTTTATTGAATTTGAAACAAATGACCAAATTTCTCTGATTGGCTAAAAAGAACAACAGAGATAAAGTGTAACTATTAGTGACATTTGAGACCGAATGTTCTATCCTATTTGTGATTTAGCAACAGAATATACCTAATAGTGTTTAAAGTAATGACTATTTCATTGAAATCCTAATTGAAACAATCTTTTACCCGATGCTTTTCTGAGGATATTAAGCTGAAAAGTAAAAACAACTATGAACCGAATCTCCACTCCCTAAAATCAATCGTTCATCGCTTCGGATAATTAAAATCTCTTCCAAAATAAATGCCTTTCATTAATCAATACAAAAATATAAATGATTTTCATTCAAAGAATATATATATTTATATATATATTTCTTCCCTAAATTTTTTCCTTTAGAAAAAATTTTCAATAATTGGCCATGTAATCCAGAGAAAACATTAATATCTCATGTACCAAAAGAACGTTTAATTATGAGTTATGGTAGTGGTTATGGTGGAAATTCATTATTAGGCAAAAAATGTTTTGCATTACGTATTGCTGGTTGTATTGCACATGATGAAGGTTGGTTAGCTGAACATATGTTAATTATGTCAGTGACCAATCCAAAAGGTGAAGAGAAATTTATAGCAGCTGCATTTCCTAGTGCTTGTGGTAAAACTAATATGGCTATGTTGGAACCATCAGTTCCTGGTTGGAAAGTACAATGTGTTGGTGATGATATTGCATGGATGCGTTTTGATGAACATGTAAGTAGTAATCAAGGATTTGTTATTGGACAGAATAAAAAAAACAAACTTAAACTCATAACCTTTATTATTCCAAAACTTTAGAAATTAGAAATCACTATTTCTTCTAAAAATGTTACTAAAGATAAGATCACTATATCTGAATAAGAAATACGTAACAGAGTAAGAGTGAAGTTATCTTATCAATGAAAGGAACATTTTACATGTAATTACTTACTTGCTTACTTACACTTGTTATCCCTAGTAAAGCATAGGTGTTGGAGATGTTAGAGCCCAAGAACTCACTTGATAAAAGTTCTGGTTTTGGATGATATGCTTTCGCGCATTGGTTGATCAGCTGACCTTGAAATTAAATTTCCCACGTGGGAAATCCGTATCTGTTATAATTTGATGTATTACTTCAGTACACTATTTTTGTGGTTCTCCCAAGAACCTTTCTGTGTAAATAAACTCGATTTGTGCGCATGTGCACCTCATGTTTTCTGGATGCTTCTAGAATACATTTACTACGTCTTGTCAAGATTTCTTCTTCTACTTAGTGGGGCCTTGGTACGCTCGGATTAGAGTAGTCTATCGTGTGACTGGATCATTTGTCCTCGCTCCCGTTTACTGACTAAAGTTTCAAGCATATCAACTGATGAGCATAACAATAGGCCAACGATCAGCATTGTCGAACCTACTCTGTCCTGCGCCTTCCTTTCTAGTTCAGTTCAACTGTTGTTCATTCTTTTCATGTCTGCCTCACATTCTTGGTACAAAGTGTTGTTTGATTTTCCTCTTTTCCTTTGACCTTAAAGATTCTAAGTGAGAGCTTGTCTTGTGACACCGATGGGTACTTTCCTCAATGTGTATCCTACCTTAGATATAATCAATTTATAAATAAATTTTAAATAGTTTAAATGACTGTTCAAGCATTGATATCCTTCATATTACTGGACCTACTTACCATTATTTACATATTACCTGAATTCTAATCTAATAATATATTAAATTCTAGTGTAAAACAAGAATTTCACTACTGTGTTTAGTATACTTTATACTTAATGTGGTAACTTAATAATTTACGCATTTGTTGGGGACGTTAGATCCCCAGAACTCATTTGGAAAAAGTCCAAATTTTGTAATTTATTTCTGAAATTTTGAATTATATGTTTTCGCGCTAAAGAGGCTTATTTTGACCTTCAGCTTGCATTTCACACTCGGGAAATCCTTGACCGTCATTGATTCATGCATTATTTTAGTAAGCTATTTCGTGGCTCTCACCAAGAGTGTTCTATCATTGTTTAAATAAGCTTGAGTTGTGTACTTATGAACCTCGTACTTTCTGGGTGCCTATTGAATACATATCTGTACATCTTATCAAGACTTCGTCTTCCAGTTAGTGGAGCATGGGATGATCAGATTAAAGTAGCCTGTCGTGTCGCTGAATCATTGATCTTCGTTCTGTTTACCGAGTAAGATGAACTCGTAATAGTTCGAGCATATTAGCATTCGACTTTCAACCACTGAGTTCCACGTTCGAATATCACTCTACCTACTTCGATTTAAGAAAACCGAGTAGAAGCACTAGCTCTAACATTTGAAACAGTATGCCTGGCAGTTTAGTGAAAGTGAGCTAATAATATTATTATTATTATTAGTATTGTGAGTTGCAGTAGCAGTAGTCATCGTGGTAGTATTAACAATAACTATAATTTATATCAATATCCCTTCTTATTCTATTAATTATTTTTAGGGAGTTCTTCGTGCAATCAATCCAGAAGCTGGTTTCTTTGGTGTTGCACCAGGTACAAATTTTAAAACTAATCCAAATGCAATGGCTACATGTATGAAAAACACAGTGTTTACTAATATTGCACAAACTAAAGATGGTCATATCTATTGGGAAGGACTTGAAGATGAATATAGTCCAGATACAGAAATTATCACATGGCTTGGTGATCATGTCAAGTTATCCGATAAGAGTAAAGATCCTAAAGCACATGCAAATTCACGATTTTGTTGTCCTGCTAGTCAATGTCCAATTATTCATCCTAAATGGGAAGATCCACAAGGTGTACCAATTTCAGCTATTATATTTGGTGGTCGTCGACCAGAAGGTATACCATTGGTGTTACAATCGTTTGATTGGAAACATGGTGTCATGTTAGGTGCAGCATTAAAATCCGAAGCAACTGCAGCTGCTGAATTCAAAGGTAATTTTTTGGGATATGAATATTTATTGATTATTAAAGTTATCTCATTAAGTATTCTAAAATATTCACAAAAAGTATACTTCATCCAGTATTATGGAGCATATTTTTCTTTTGAAATCATGAATTGATCAGTGTTAGAACACCATTAGAAACCTGGAAGCACTGAACAGCCGTGTGGAAGTTTCTCCGAGTTCTAGTGAGAAGTTGTGACCAGTGGTGTTCAACTCTGTTCAGGTGTGAAGCAGTGCTTACCGAAGACAGTGAATGAGGTTGCACAGGACCGTGAATTGGTTGAATTCAGACATTAACAACATTGGATTCCAGCTCAGTGGTCCGGAGGTTAAGCGTCCACGCGCAAGACCGAAGGTCCTGAGTTGGATTTTCGCTTGTGACGGGGATCGTAGATGTGCATTGCTGATGAGTCTGATAATGGGGCAAAAAGGACGTCCAGTGCTTCCAGATTTCTAGTGGTTGTCTAACATAAATCGATTCATAATTTGAAGGTAACTCAGTAATCTCCACAATCCTTTAATAAACATTTTTTATTCAGTTCATTTCATAAATAAATATTTCTTATTTGGGATTTTATTTCAAGCATTTGAAGTTAACCGCAGTTGTTTACTTTGAATACATCTGTGTGGTTCGGTGCAATATAATCAATGGAAGACACAAATACATTGAAAAGTTATAGATTAGGATGAAACCTTCAAAGTGAAGTACACTTTTATATTCAATTCAGATTCTTGAAATCGAGTAAATCAATGTTTGATAATTTCGTTTCTGATATAAGACAATACAATTTAATAAATCATACATTGGCTTTACATTATTTTCATTATAAGGTTATGAAAGTTGTTGAGTTTCATTGAAATCATGAATCAATCAATGTTAGACCACTATCATTAAATACCTTGAAGTACTGGACGGTGGTTTCGTCTTAGGATGAGACTCATCAACATCGCTTAGCTACGACTCACACACACATAAGAATCCAACCCAAAGACCATAAGTCTCGCTCATGAACGTTTAAACTCCAGGTTTCTAATGGTGGTCAAATATTGATCAACTCATGATTTGAATTTCCCTTACTTTTTAAAAGTATTATCAATATTCAATAAATTCTCTCAGATACCAGTGATTGTATGATTAAACCAATGCATAAAACTTTACAGTTTCAACCATTTTTCACTACTAATATTGATTCTTTAATAATTCTAAACGAACTAGTTTACATAATCACCCAAATAATGGTAGACTTAACTTTCTACTGTTTGACATTTTAGTTTCAATGTTAAAATATTGCAAAAAATTATCATGAAAACTTTATATCGATTTTGATTTTTCTAAAATCTTAATTCCTTAAAAAATTTAATTTTTAAAAATAAATTTTGTTTTAAATTCACATCAATATTTAATTTCTTGGTGAATATGGTCATAAGGACACTGTAGTTATCATTGTTTGTGAAATAATTAACGTTCAAAATTATAATGTACATTTATCTAGTGGGAACAATGATTACTGACCATAACATAACATTATTAATTATGTTTTGTGATTGCGAAGGTGAAAAGTATTTCATATCAATCAATGAAGTCAAACAATCAGAATTGATTCGATTTGATAATTTTCATTCAAGATTCAGGCTTAAATAAATAGTACATTATAGGTTATCGGGATCAAAATAACCATGACAGTTGACCTGAAAGATAAATTACTGTAATAATAATAATAATAAGGTGTGCGTAGAGTCAGGCCATTTTAGAAATGAATTACAAAACGATCTTGAGAAATTATACTTTGAATGGATTATTTGCATCAGATCAGTAAGGAAATTTGGGCAAATTCCTTCATTGGCTTATCTGGTTGGATTAATCCTGATTTGTGATTGGTCAAACATGTTGAGAATTTGCTCAAGGTTATTTCATCGATCGATCGCTCACTCGCTCAATAATGTTAAGTACAGTTCAATTTTTACCGTTTTACATCATTCATTTTATTTTTTTTTCAACAAAAAACAATAACTAACGTTATTGATTTTTCTTCTCTGTTCTTTTCTTTTCGATAAATCAATCAATCAATAAAATAAAATCACATAATTTAGGTAAACAAGTGATGCATGATCCAATGGCTATGCGTCCATTTGTTGGATATAATTTTGGCCAATATTTAAATCATTGGCTTGGTATGGAGAAACCAACACGTAAAATGCCTCTTATTTATCATGTGAATTGGTTCCGATTGAATAAACAGGGCAAATTTGTATGGCCTGGTTTTGGACAAAATATTCGTGTCATCGATTGGATACTTCGACGTGTTGATGGTGAAGATATTGGTGTACCGTCGCCGATTGGTATTTTACCGAAAAAAGGTATTTGTGTGTGTATTAAGTGGCGGATTGATTTGTAAATATTTATTTACTCACTCGGTTGTTTCATATTCTTCATGAAGATAAAGAATTACTTCAGATCAATATTTAATCTTGTGTAGGTCATTCTTCTGAGAAACAGGCTAGACGAATATGCAAAACGCAAAAAAATGAAAAAATACATATTTATTCCGATGAAAAGAATCATTTCTTCAGTATGGAGCAAACATTGGAATCCCTGTTGAGGGACAGAAATAGAGATCAGAAGATAAACTTACATATTTTAAAATAATTTACACCTGACATAGAATTATAACTAAATACTCAATCGTTTAAGAGTAGTCATTTAGCTCTGATAAGGATGTGTTTCAGTCCAAATGATTCAATATGAGATCGTTCAAAATGGACTGTAGTACAGTCAAAGGGGATCAGCTTAGAGTTGGGCGGACATTGATGTACAAGTCTTTTATGTATGAATTGAACTGGCTACTTGAATGAGAAAACCTAAGATGAGCAGTAGTAGTAGTAGTAGCAGCAGTAAATTGACTAATCTGAATCGAATATTTGCACGAATTCATTCACAAATATATATATATATATATATATATATATATATATATATATATGTCTCTTCTTAAACATGAAACCAGATTTCCAACCGATGTTGTACATCTGTTTCCTCAAAAAGTCAAACCAGATCCTAATCACTTGTATGAATGAATATGTAAGCCTTTCTCAGTTATACGCTAACCGTGACTGACCCACCTTATCAGTAAAATTTTTCTGACGACATTTTAACGTCAGATATAATCAACGAGATCTGTGGATCACTTGTAGTACAGTCAACAATATCTCCTGTTTTACAAATGTGATAACATTGTATGTGGTTTTGCTTGTGAATGTACGTTTTGATTATACAACTACAGTGTCATCTTGTATCAGTGTGATAATTTCGACGAGAAATATTTAATATCATGATTTATGTAGTTGAAATACTTGAAATGTAATTACACTGTAAGTGACTTTGAAAAGTAATTCACTCGTTCTTTTCAAGGGATCTACAATTTGAAACAGATCTTTCAAGACAAGACATTTAGTGAACTATAATATCTTTTGGTATTTTGTGTTAATGTCTAGTAACATAATTATAAGTTGTGGAAACCTATGGTGCATACTTGTTCCTTGCGAATTACATTATACTGAATTCTTGTGGTCTATTTGAAGTGAATCATTTAATGGCCTAAAGTACTACATATTCATGTTACTTTTCTTGATAATAGGGATACTAGCCCCTAACTCAGGTGTCATATAGTCGCAAAAAACAAAAATCACTTTATTGCGAAAAATTCATCACCCGACATGAGACAAAGGGTAATAAGAGTATATGAGCCCGTTTGAGTCAAGCGGAGCTGCATCTCTTGCTATATCCTATGCCATTCAATGTCTATACAATGAGCTAGATTGCTATATAGAGCTGAAGGTTTTCAATGAGTCCAGATATTCATTGTGAACACTGTGAATGGTTTGGCATTACCTTAGCATATTTTGCTGATAGTTCAAGTATAAATTTGTTCTGCAAGGTAATCAATTTCATTGATACTGATGGCTGTCTTGCAAAATTCCCAAGGCCCATTGTCAATGGAGTGCTGTATTGTTGTATATCACCATTGCTAATAATAATGTGTTTAACTGTTATGTAAATGGAATGAGTCGAATTGGCCTGTTCATGCGTTGCATGTTGATTGACGCGATCATGAATCGGAATCACTAAATGTATCTGCGTATATAAATAGTGTGAATGGTCCATGAGGGCCTCAGTTACCTGTGTGGTGGTTGCGCCACAATATCAAGCTATACCGTTCACGTTGTACAGTTAACAAGTGGGCCGTCTCCTTAATTCTCCTGTGAAAACCAATGTAGCATTATCTATCAAACTACAATTACCATTAAGCTATTATCAATTTGTGCAAAAAAACAAAATTCCTTCTATTTTAAAAAAAAATCTTTATCTGTCATCAAATAAGTTGAATAAAATACTACTTAAATTAAAATTGATCATATTGTACTATGTCTAAAAATATAGTCATTTAAACTAACCCCCAAAAAAATCCTATTCTCTAATTTAAACAAGAAAAGAAAATGGCATCTGTTATTTTTACCCTAAAATCCATCATTCTAGAATTCCATATTTTATTGATTTTCTTTTTCATCCTACTTTTCATCTTGAAAAAATGGTTGTTGTGTAATTTCACTCTTTGTTGTTTCTCTCTCTCTCTCTCTCTGTTGATGATACAATTAAATGCTACTTATTATCGGATATAAACAGTAAAGATTTGTTGAATAAATTGTTTGATTCGAAATAGAAATAAAGAATTATTAATTCGTCTGATTGTATTGTAACTCATACCTTTTACTTGTCGAATTACATCAAATCCACAAGACGATTAAGGTGCTTATATTAGTTAGTTACTTACTTACGCCTGTTACCCACAATGGAGCATAGGCTACTGACTAGTATTCTCCAACCTACTCTTCTTTCCTGGGCTTCCCTTTCCAGTTCTATCCAACTTTTGTTCATTCTTCTCATAACTTTCACTATTTCTCGGCGTATTTTTGTTTTTTAGCCTTCCTCTTTTCCTTTGACTTTGAGGGTTCCAATTGACGGTTTGTCTTGTGAAACAGTTGGGTGCTTTCCTCAATGTGTATTCTATCCACTTCCACCACTTCTTCCTGAATTCCTCCTCCACTGGAATCTGGATTGTTCTCTGCCACAGTAGGTTGTTGCTGATCATGTCTGGTCAACGAATCTGAAGTATTTTGCGTAGACAACTGTTCATAAATACTTGTATCTTGTGGATGATGGCTTTGTTAGTTCTCCAAGTTTCCTCTCCATACAGTATTTGGAGTTGCAAATGTTTTTCGATTGTAGAAAACTGCTTATATTACTGAAAGAGATTAATCATTCCTGGAGATCAACAAACTTTTCAGATCAATTATTATTATTATTATTGTTATTATTATTTTTATTACAGATTCAATTGATTTCACTGGTTTAAATGTGGATTGGGACGAGAATTTCGCACTACCAAAAGATTATCTCTTGGAAGATGTTGACGAAACAATAAAATATTTACAAGAACAAGTTGGTAAAGATTTACCAGTTGTAATTCAAAATGAATTAACTAATCAACGTCAACGTATTCAATCTCAACTTTAACTGGTATGTTTTGTTTAACCAATAATAATAAGATGACCATAGTGGTTGTCTGACTGACTGGTCACTGAATAGTGTAACTAGAGTTGTGTTTAGTTTGTTTAGTACTTTAAAAAAATCTATTGATCGGTCAGTCTCATAGGTGACCAGTCACAATCGGAATAGTTCAATGATGATGTCTCAGACTGTGAATCTCAATGATGTGAGTTTAAGCTTAGTTCCTTAAAGATTACAGATATACTATACTAGCAAGTGCCAGTGAGCATTTGGATAATATTAACGTGTTTATAAATTCTCTGTGTTCGATCAGTTAGTTAGAAATCTTTGGTTGTGGTTTTAGATAAAAAAAATCATAGGCAAACATAAGATCAAGAACCAGATCATCCAATGGGGATACAATCAAAACAAAGTTGAAAACAACGATAGGTTTAAGGTCCATATAGCAACTAATCAAGATCGAGGTTAACAGAAAAAGCTACGCGTCATACGTGGAAAAATTCGAATGCTTCACTTCTTCTATCTGAAGTTTGTGTTGATAATGATTTTGTTCAGTAGAAGAACAACGAAAGCTCCATTACCAAAACATCCATCTCAGAGAACGAATCACCACTACAATCATTCATCTGAGCTACAAATTTTCATCATCATCTTTAAATCATATTATTAGTTCCTTATGTCAACATCTATTTTCATGTAACTTCTGAGAAGGTTGTTTAATGTTACAGTGAAAACTTATCAATAAGAAGCCTGGTTCAAATAAATCACTATAATTAATGAATGCTAAATGTATATATATATATTACTTGTTAAATTGAGAAATTAGAAATTTTTCAATATGATTAACCGCTCAATGTATCAATTTAGAATTTCATTACTTTCCAATTGAATAATTAATTTGTTTTATATGAACTAATTACGAACACAGTTCTTTCATCTCTAATTTTAATGGCTAATAGTAGGTTAGAATTTAGGATTTATGTGTTTTATCTTATGTGAAACTTGGCAACTGAATGTAACTCCATCCTAGAGTTAATTTTGATTCTAAGAGCCAAAAAAACTAACACTATTTACTTTAAACGCTATCGCGTCATCCATTTAACGACTATTTAGTACAAAGAACCAGTGGCTTCAGAAAAAAAGGAATAAAATGTTTTGTAACTTTGTACTACTGAAATCGTGAGTCGATCAATATTAGACCAACATTAGAAACCTGGAAGCACTTGACGGACGTTTCGTCCTGGTATGTGGATTCATCAGTGGCAATGTGCATCCATGACTTCTACTACTTTCAGAGTTCGAACCCAGAACCTTAGGTCTTATATTAGTTAGTAAAATCTTCCGATTATTATTTAAGACTAAAATTGATCAGTTTAGTCACACATTTAACTCAGCTTATAATGCTAATGACTTAATAGTATTATTAAGTCAATTTGTATGACAACACAGGCTGATCAATTTCATTTCTAAGAACATCATTTCCTAAATACAACAACTCTGTAACATATGAAGACTTCTTCTAGTCAATTATACACTAGACGCCAAATTGTAGACATTTGGCAATCCAGTTAATAGGATAACAACACCAGACTGACTATTACATCACTAGGTCACGTGACTTGATTATATAAACAACTAGACTGAATCATCCTACCAATGGTTACAAATCACACACGGGCTTAAAAGTGTCACACTATTCCCCGCCATTTTTTCTTCTCAGATGTCAGCTCTAACCCATAATCATCATGCATTGATTATGTACTCGACCTATTATCTCTACAAATAATGGGATTTGAACTGGCAATTCCATCTGCCTCTCTCTCTCTCTCTCTCTGTATGTATGTACTATTAATGTGATAAGACAACTTGAACTATAATATACATCATACCAACTGAGTTCTACATTGTAGCTAACTAACTAACTAATTAACTAACTGTACTCTACCAAAACAAAATTCAATATCATACTAATATGCTGTCTTTTGTTTCTCTCCCTTTTTTCCTCTTTGAATCTTTTTTTTGTAGAGAAATCAATTTTGAAGTTGAGAAGAAATTCATATTCTGAACAACAATTTCCTATGCTTTCTATTTTCTTGATTTTTTTTTAATATTACTTTTATTATTTGTGTGTGTTCAAAAAATTTTAAATTGAATTTGATTGAATTGTGTTGTTTTGTAGACATTAGTGAATAATTGTCATTATTATTATTATCACTACTCATACTACTACTCATAATACTACTATTATTATTATTATTATTATTTTTACTAATAATATTATCATTATTGCTATTATTGTTAATATTAGTCTATTGCATAATTGATTGATTTCATTTTCAAAGTGTTTTCATTAAATACAGAGTATAGACAATTAATTCATTTGCTGCTGTTTTTTTCATTACTATTCATCAGTTGAGGTTGTTGGGACATGTGTTGCGTATACCTAGCCACTGACTGCCTCGAAGAGCTTTGTTTTGTAGTGTAGGAGTAGGCTGGAAGAAAGTTAGGGGCGGCCAAACCAAAACATGGCAGAAATCTATGAAGTCATTGACGAGTGGACTTAGCCATGTTGGCAGGTATCGACTACCTGGTTGGGGTCCGCGAGATAATAATAATCGATGGATAGAGACCTTGAATGACATGGCTCAAAATTGTTCGCAATGGCGCCGGTGCATTTATTCTTTGTGTTTTCTCAAATCCTAATCTTCTGGATTCTTTAACACCTCTAGTTTTGACTTTCTAAACTTATCTCACTGAATCATACTTCTTGAATAATATCTTCTAATCCTAACCTTTCCGATTACTTCTAATACCTTTACTACTTCTACTACTATTGGATTTGAATTGACAATTATAGCTCTGTGCTGATGTGGTATGGAAACACGAACTGATGTACTTACGTACGAAGTTCTACGTTGCATCTTACTGACTGACTGACTATTCCAAAAAAAAATTGACTTATAAGAGACAAAATGCTCAATATTGTTAGTGAGATAGGTTGTGGATATTGAAAATTGAATGTTGAGTAAACAGATGATGTGATTTGGCTAGTCATTATTAGTGAGTACTGTTGGATGCAGGTTCAGTGGTTTAGAGGTTAAGAATTCGTGCGTGAGGCTGATGGTCCTCGGTTTTTGACTTCCACATGTGGAGGTCGTGAATGCGTACAACTGATGAGTCCTATACTGGAGTGATACGGCCATCCAGTGCTTACAGGTTTCTAATGCTGATGGTCTAACATCGACCGATTCATGATTTCATAATAAAGTTATAAGATTTAAAGCATTACAAAATTAAGATTTAGATAAAAATTTAATATTGATCGGAAAGTTATTTAGAATTAACAAGCGACACATATAAACGAATAATATTGTTTTCGATTAGATTGTCATCAGGCTTTAACTCTAATATACATGAATATTTATATTTGACATGTTAAACCAATCAATGCTATTCAAGTCAATAATCACAATGAAATGAAATAGAGTTTACATCACTACATATAATAGGCAAAAGTACAAGTGGATAGTAGGAAGACAGGTGTACTGATAGTAGTAAGAAAATTATAAAATATGATAAGTAAAGTTTTATCAATAGTAGGTCAAAGGTGGATAAATAGACTTAAAATAATCATTACAAAACATTAAAACCATTACGTAATAAGACATGTGTATATACTTAGATAGCGAAGAATAGAAAAGGGAAAGTGGCAGAGAATTACTAACAACCAATCATATAAATGTATTGTCAAACGTTTCCTAAAAAAATATTCTAACAATAAGCAACCATAATTTAATTGATGATATCAAACCGAGAATATAAAGATTTTCAATATGATTGGTAATAGGCTAAGTGTCATACTCGTCAATTGATACGCTTGAATGCTATTATGAGATCACTTTAGTCGGTTAACGAGAGCGAAAATGAATAAATGATCCAATGACACAATAGGCTACTCTAATCCGAGCGTCTCAATGCCCCACTAAGTAGAAGAAGAAGTCTTGACAAGACATAGAAAGTGTATTTTACAAACACCCAGAAAATATAAGGTCGACAAGCACACAAATCGAGTTTATTTATACATGATAGAAACATACTTGGGAGGGCCACAAAAATAGCGTATTAAAATAATGCATCGACCAATAATAGTCAAGCATTTTCTGGGTGGGAAATATAATTTCAAGGCCAGCTGATCAGCCGATGCGCGAAAGCATATCATCCAAAATGAGGACCTTTATGAATTGGGATCTAGGGATCTAACGTCCACAACAAATACATCCCACTGTGCTAACGGTTTTCTCGATGTCATATTAACCTTTGTAGATCATCAATAATCCTAACTATACACCCTAATGATTAGATTTCATAAATTTTACAGCATTTAAGTTGGCCATGTTACTACTGAACGATTTTGGGCATAACCTTATTTTGTACTGAATATATATATATATATATATATATATATATATATATATATATATAAACTGAGTTAGTGTCTTGATCGTCATTTTGTACAACTTGCAATTCACTATATATTCCTTGATTTTATATAGAACTTATAGATGTTTGTTTGTTAATTATCGCTTTATATTCAACTTCGATAAAATATCTTCTATCAACTTTATTCTTCATTTTAAAAATATTATGGTTTTTAGTTTATTTTTGAGTTATCTACAAGTCATTTTATTAAATGATTGCCATGAATGAACGTACTAAATAGTTTAATTAAAATTTTCCAGTAAATTTCTTAATCGAAGAAAAAAGTGAACATAGTTGGTCATTTTTTTTTTAAAACAATATAAATTGTAATTAATCTTAGATGGAAATAATTGAGGAAAATTTATTTCGATTACGGTTTTTCTTTATGAAATGTAATAACGTCTGGTATTTTTGTTTGCCATAAAAATATTCCTCCCATTGCTGCTATATGGAAAATTAACGGACATACAAAATCAACCAATCATGTTTTTGCTTGTAAATACAGGCCAAGGTCACGCCAATATATCACACACAAAAGCCAATTAAAATCCAATCTTATTTGTACTTATACATATGCAGGACAAGGTTACAGCCTTCAACACATAAAAAATTCGATTGAAACAAATAATAACTTTGATTTCATTGAAATATTTATACAGCATATTCGATGACAACAACAATGAATCTTGTGTAATCATTTATCAATCATGTACATACCTGAATGGGATCATTAAAAAAAAAATATAATTCATTCGTATGACTTACTGATGTTATGGCCTAGTTAACTTGACTTAATTTGCCATATAGATCAGTTTATACAACATAACATATGAAATTGAATTTCATTTGAAGAAACCTATTATAAAATGCTCTCCAGTCTCTTTTTCTCGAATATTTCTAAATGAAAACTGAGAATAACTATTCCCAAAAATCTAATAACACTTGATCACCTTTTACCGAATACTATTACTGTAAACCCAAGATAAATTATGCCAGTGTTTATTTCAATAATCATATAGGTCATAAACAGCTGATAAAAATTTCATCAATCAATGTAGTCATATTATTCTTTCAAGATTAGTGTTGATATCTTATTAAAAATTTCTGAAAATGATAGTTTACATGAAAAATGATATATCTGTTGAACATGTATAATGATTGCTAGTAACCTAGTGTAATGTAATATTTTGAATTGAAGTCTATTACTAATCGGATTAAATTGCCATAGATAATAATATGTAGTAGATATTGTGCAATGTAGAATTCTTAGAATTTCAATAGGTCCGTCCTATTTTATTTATTCTACAGAGTTATATACTGCTTAGTTCATATGTATGAAAAAAAACAAGATATTCTGTCAATAATTGTGTGTGTATCAGTGCGTATAATAAGGTATAAACGCATTTGAAAGAGGAACCAGTGGTGTTACTTTCAATACATAGATGAAGGTATTTTATCAAACATTTGCACTCATCTAGACATAAACAAAAGATTTAAAACCTCTGACACGTGTTCCGAATACCGCAAAAGAAACTATCGGTTTGACCTGAACTGCTTACTTGCTATCTGAACATTTCGCTTTAAAAAATATTGTTTACTCTGTGTAGTACATCATCAGCGAACAGTGAGCATTTCATGGTTGATTGTTTGTCTGTTTTGATGTGAACGATAGAGTTGAACTATACAGACAACCATGAAATTGACCATTCGTATATATCGATTAATCGGAATGTAGCAAGGTCGTTCTGAGAATGCTTTAATTAATTGACGCTTTTCATTTGAATCCATTGTCGGTATCAACTAGAATCTAACATTACTTACTTACTTACTTACTTTGTTACTTACTTACTTACTTACTTACTTATGCACTTACTTACTAACTTACTTACCTACCTATTTACTTACTTACATACTTAGTTGCTTCTCTTACCCTCAATGGAGCATAGGCCTCCAACAAGTATTCTCCAAGTAAGGGCTTGTCTTGTGACTCAGTAGGTTGCTTTCCACAATGTATATCCTATCCACTTCCAGTGAGAATCTAACATCTAACTCTTCAAATACTAGATTATTGTAACTCATTAGACAAAAAAAATTGATAAAGTAAAAGTGTATCGTGAACACTGAACAGTGATGCCACAGATGAAAAAAGAATTAGTAGTATCATACAGTTGTTAAATTTTGTTAGCATGTTGTACAGTTAGATGATACTGATGACCACTTTCAGTTAAGAAATACTAGTTCATTACAAGGATATTTTATCAATAAGTGTTAACGATCACGAAACATAGATTAATGCTTTTCTATCTGTCGACTACATTCAACCGATGACCTTACATCATAATATAGTGAACTCGATATCAAGCTATTTAGACTATTGACCACACTGAAATTTGATCGATAGATATCTGTTAACACTGAAAAGAGTAGATAAACATGACCTTGGTCATTGTTCAATCAGAAATCAGTTGTAGATGTATGATCAACTTGTATTTTTACATAAATGTACTTATTTAGTTGCAAAAGAAAACAATCTTGGAAAATAAGTGGCTACACATTCGAAAACAAAATCATTTCCAAAAACGAGATAAAAATAAACAACAATAACAACAACAATTGTTGTTTATCAATTTTCTAAAATTTATCTTACACTTTACATAATTACTTTGATTTAGTTTACGTTAACACAAGTTATTTCTATAAACTAGCTCAAAGAAACAATAATGATTGAAAACAAAATTTTATTTTATTTTTAGCCTGGTCAAATAAAATTATAGGATTTTTATAATTATATAATTAAATTGTGGTGAAAATGCTCTATTTTTCCTGTAATCGAAAAGTGATATCCGGTAGCTTTTTATCTATGATTCCGTTTTAAAAAAAAAACTACTCACAGACTCA